TGCTCATGTAACAACAAGTGGGACGAGGAAATACTTCTGGACCCCGAAGCGAAAAAACATTCGGCTGGCGGAAGCCCCGTAACCAGTCGCTGTCAGTTGGGGGTTACATGTATAGTTCATGTGAAACAGGGAAAACCGCGAAAGTCAACAACCGGGAACAACTTCTTCTTCTTCTGACGAGCAATTTTCTCTCAGGAAGCAAGTAAGACCCCTCCTGTCCCTCGCTCCCCACCCCGGGAGGGATGGTCTCGTTTCGCTCCACGTTTTCCGCTCCCTGCACAGAACCGAATTTCGTATCCACTGCTTCCATAAGCTTCCTTCGCACTTTGATCACTAACTGAACTTGAACTCCTCGGGACACCAGAAGATTACTTTTCTGAGATTAACAGCTCCAACATTACTTTTGAAGTATTGCTGGAATTATAGAGGAGTGTGCGCTAGAGCTCTTATGCAACCAGTAGCCGATCTATCGAACTCATTTTAACGACTCATGGTGCAAAGCAGTGCTGAGGGCCATTCTCAGCGACGATAAAGACCATAAGAATGTGCTGCGTGAAGAAATGGACGAGACTGATGGAGGGAAATCTCGGAGGAGAATATTTGTCGGAGAATGGATGTGAGTTCCTCTTGATGTGAGATGATGACATCGAAAAACGCGCGTCAGATGGCCATTTATGAACCACTGGGCGAGATGACGAATGCAGCTGAAAAGTGATCGCTTTGGGGTTTCCGACCCTCTATAGCTCTAAGGCGGACCATAAGTGAAAGTGCTATCAAAGCATCACTCACAAGAGGTTTTCAGTGAAGTATGCTATAGCTGTAACATTTCACAGTGGGCGTAGTAGTGTAGTGGCAAAACGCCCGCTTGCTATGTCTACGACCCCAGGCCGAATCCTGGACCGGCTCCTGCCTAGGCTAATCAAGCCTTCTACCTCCGGGGACAGTAAATTGGAGCCAGATTCATCTGGGAGTATAGAACGGTATATCAGTCAGCCCGCAAAACATTCAGTAAGCCACTACGATTTCGGATGGAAGTAGAAAGCATGTGGATCCCAATATCTTTTGCAATCTGATTTCTTGCTCGGAGGTGGTTACATAGTGGCAATTAGTGCTGCTTACCGCGAAATGTTTCCAGCATCAAAACGGATCGGATCCTGCCAAACCAGCCAAGCCTTCCATCCCAGGTGCAGGCCAATTCGTACAAAACTCATCTAGGAGAACAAAAACACTGAGTTGTACTGGCAGAACCCTCAAGCTCATAAATAG